CTATTAACTATAAATAAAAAGAAATTAAATAAGAAATGAATAGATCATAAGCTATGTCAACGTGAATAAGAATAAATTAAATGAGAAGTAAATAATATATAAATGACACCAAGAAAATTCGGACTTCGATCATATAAATTTTATATGGACTAAGTTTGGTTTTCTCTCGGTTTCGTTAAATAAGTGTCAGCTTACCTTTGAATAACCGGTTGAAATAGCAATTAAATCAATGCAAAAAAATTGAATATAAACAAATTAAGTGTTAACTTATCTTTGAATTATCTTTGAATAATTCGATTGATCAATATAAAGAAATTGAATAAGAAATTATCTGCATTGATTAAATTCAATACGAATAATAATAAGATACGTAACATAATAACTTGTCTCTACACTTATTGCAGTATTGAAATAATTGGAGAAATACTTATGTATCAATAAGGTCGTGGGCACTAACGTCGTATTTACGAAATGTAATCCTTCTTTTATAATCAGTGATAGAGTTCTTTATTTTTCATATGTTAAAACCAGTTTCCAAACTCTAATCAGTGATAATAAATTTTATATAGAAAAATGAAAAATGCCAAATATCCCGTGAATATTTATATCTGAAAATCATGCCTCTACTATCATTTGTTACAACATTTGAATATAAGAATTTTGAAACTTAATTGTGAAATAGATAGTGAGAAAAACAGTAAACATGAATTCATATGAATTCAGGTGTGGATCAAATCGAGCGAAGAAGTTGCTTGTATACAAAAGAAAAAGGGGAAAAGTTTTTAGTAATTTTTTTTAAATTTTTAAATTAAAATATCTCAATAACCACTAAATTAAATTTAATAATTTTTTTTTAATTTTATAATTTTATAGAATTAAAATAAAAAATTTATTAAATTTAGTTTAATAGTTGTTGAGATATTTTAATTTAAAGTTTATAAAACTTTTACTTATAAGAAATCCCCCCTTTCTATTGAAAAGCCCCCATATGCCCTGTGATGCTACTGCGTGTGAGATCCCTGATATGCATTCACATCCCTACTTTGCCACATATATTATCAAATAAAATGCAGATACACACTACTTACTTTGCAAGATAAGCATACATTTAATTAAATTTTTTAATATCACTCCATTCATAGAATATTGTTTACGTTCCTAACTATTAATTAATTTGAAACAATTTTAATTTTCAACACTAGCGATCTAAAAATACATAAGGAAAATTAAAAAAAATACCTCCCGAAATTTTTATAACCACTTTGCTAAACAAAGTAAGATCTAGTACACTAATGGATATTATACTAAAGAATTGGAATTTGACAAGGAATCTTTGGAATTGTGACTCATTGCGTAATAATTTTTAAAAAATGATGAATTTAAGGAAAATTTAAGATTTTCGTGTGATTGAAAAGCACGATAATTAGGAATGGTGGTTGCACATCTGGGTCTATCCAGATTATTTTCAACACATCCCTGCTTCAACCTACCGAAAGCCATTTTCCGAAAGGGTACTGATAAAGTTAGCTGACATTAAGCAGATTTTAATCAGTATTAATTCTTTCATGAAATGGTTTAGGAAGATCTTATGTATAGTCTCATCGCTTATCCACCTTCAATATGTTAACACCAACAATATAATCCAGTGATCGCTATGCATTTAACAAATTCTTTCGCTCTCATCTTTGATGATCAGTGATTATCATTTCATCAACCCAATTAAAATCCTACAAAAAAAAAAAACGAAAATGCTAAAGTTCCAGTGCATAGGCATGCAAATATACTTCAGATCACCAATATTTATGCCTAAAAATCATGCACTAGCGCGCATAGTCACTTTTGGTTCGTACTTTTAAATAAACTGAACTGAAGTTTTTTAAAATAGATCGTACCAGATTTAGAAGGAAGTGCACATGTGCAAGAGTTTTTTTTGGATTTTTTTAGATTTTTAAAAAATCTCTCAAGTGTGCAAGTAAAATTTTTAAAAAAAGTTGCGCATTTGTGGAAGTAGATAGTCATTGAACTATGAAAATTTATCGATGCAAAATATCTTTCGATAGTTTTATTTAATTAATAGTGAAAACTGTTTTTCCTAAGCAAAGGAATTGTTTGCGTATATTAGTTCGTGTAACATCAAATTTTTGACAAAAATGCATTTGCATGTTTTTTAAATTTGATGTACTATTGTTGCATGAAACTGATATGCATAAACAATTCCTTGACCAATTATCGTTTTGTTTTGTTTTGTTTTGTTTTTTTTTTTTTTTGCCAAATACATACTTTTAGAAAACAAACCACACATATCGATATTAATGATTCGACTAAGACTATTGTGGCACTAAATGCGTAAATTATATATTTTGTTTATCTCAACACAGAATTAAAAGTAATAATTCATTTTATAGTATTAAGCGTTAATTATCTGTTCTAGATTTTCTATTTTAATTTGTTTTTGATTTCTTGGCATAATAAGTACAATCCACTGATCAGCACCTCAAGACTATATGTGTCCAAAATAAAAACGATATATCTAAATAGAAAAATTTTTGTACAACAGAATGCTAGCCTTTATGATTGTGAAGCCAGGATAAAGTTGTACTAATATAATTCCAAATAATTTTGTATACTTGACTATTTTAGAGATTCAGGTTTTCTTTCGGCAACACATATTTATAAATTCATTCTTTCTTTACATAATTTTTAAGCCTGGATAATGTCTTAATATAATTCCAAATAATTTTGTAAGCCTGGATACTGTTGAGTATTTGAGATATTCGGGGTTTTTTTTGGCAACACATGTTTATAAAATTCATTTATTCATTACAAACTGGAAACTAAATCGTTTGCGTGCCATGTATATTTTTTATACAATTTTAATGCTTCATGTTGTTTATGCTGAGGATGCTGAGGATGCTGAAGATAATGTCACTACAGTAAAGAGTGATATTTTTTGGTTATTAGATGGTTTGATTGCATATGCTGAGATATTCTTTGTACTTCATTATCTTAAAGTTAGGAGTAAGAACAAAATTCTAGTTCACTGGATTTTGCAAGGATCATCTATATTTGTTGACTGCATTAAACTGATAGTTAGTTTAAATCTAACATTTAGTTCAATTTACAAGGGTGCATTGTCATTTATTCTATGAACTTTATCAGCTTTAGAAATTTCAAAATTAGCTATTCATGCACAAGATGAAGTTTCAGATATTACAACAGCTGCAATTTTGATTTTAAATCTTTCAAGACAATATGTTGCGGATCTTCGAGATATCTACTTGCTTTTAGGAGTATTTAAGATTATTATCATTGTTTTTGAATTATTTGGAATAATTTCAGAGATACTTCGTTTTTCAATTCTGATTACTATTTGTGAAGGTGTTTTACTTTATAATAATTCAGGTCCAACTTTAGGTGTTATATTGTTAGTAGTATATATTTTCCAAAGCATTCTCTTTATTATGAATTTTGTTATTAATTTCAAATACAAGAAATTTAGATGGAAAATCAAATTTACTTTCTCTGAGTCCAGATTCTTCTTATTAATTCTTTTGTCGAGTACTCCTATTCTTTGCTTTATTGTTGATAGTATATCACTCTTTATTTATTTTATTTTATTTTTTTTTTTTTTTTTTATTTTTTTATAAAACCCCGAGATAGCATTTATCTGGGGACGTCAAATGACGCTATTTATTAAACTAAGAAATATATAC